TGGTGTTTGTATGTCTGTTTTGACTGGATGCAACCATTATCTGTTGGTATTTCAAAGTATGATGTTGAGAAAATATAATAGGATGATTAAACAAATCAATGAGAATATGTTGCTATATCTTGCATTTGATCCGGTTAATATATCAAACACCTTCAAAGCAGAAATGTTGTTTGATATGCTGATATAGGATGTATATTCTCCATCACCATGGATCATAAAGACCATAATATCTTAGGGGGCGTTATCATATGTATGGAATTTGATTTATTCCAACCAGAGTCAAAATTACCTAGAACTGAGTGAAGCTTATAAGGGATATGTTGGTGAAGTTCTCTTTCCAAAAAAGATATTCAAAATGTCCTACTCCAGCTGTAGACTTCAAAATCAAACATGAAGGTTCAAACTGGATTGTTTTTTAATAAAATAAAAGGGGAAATTTTTTGTGTGGGTAAAGTATTATGAATCGTCTTAAATTTTTTTGTCTGATAGTAATCGATCTCAAGGAAAGGTGAATAATTTCACACTCCATATGCCATAGCCACTCATGATTTTGATTTCAAGAATGTATGATTTCATTCTGCAAAGAAAGAACATCATTTTCCAGATTTCAGGTCTAACATAATAAAAAACAATGTAGAAGAACAAAATAGAACCTCCATGAAACCAAGTATTGTGTGTTTTCATTACATACACCTAATATTTAAGAAGTAGCTGTTGAACACATGGACTCAGCGTGTGTGTTCATTCCATAAACACTAGAGGCGTGTTTGACACAAGGCATTTGGAAGTTTTTAGCTTCTAGCGTTTGATAAAACGTTCCATTTTGAATAAAAAAACTTTGTTTGACACTATATGATTTCAATGTTTTGTTTAAGCAAAACACTTCAAATCTTAAAGCTATCTCACGCAACGTTTAACAAAACACTATCAACTACATCAACAAAACAGTTTTGCTGGACACACCTTAGACGTGTCTCACATTAGACGAACTGTATTTTTCTGCCAAATATTCTCACAATACACATAATGTGTTTTCGAGCTCGGGATTGACCGTATTGAAATGGTTTTTATTTAATTCGTTATACTTACGATTTGTTTCTACCAATGAGATCATCAACGTCTCGATTAGGGCTGAGCATGAGCCATAATTTTCGATTTCTGGGTTTAAGAACCCATTGGGTTCGGTTTTAAATCAGTTTCGGTTTTTGGGTTTGTGGATCAATTTCATCGGTTTTGGGTTCAACCAATGGGTTTGGGTTTTGGGTTTAAACCGGTAGGTTTTGGGTTGTAACCTATTTTTAGCAAATGTCTAAGACTTAAAAAATGAAACAAAATTAACAACCTAAATTAAAAAAACCTAAAAAAACAATTACAACACAACACAATATCAAAAGTATATTGCTAAAAGTTTACAACAACCAAGTTTAACAAACAACAAACTTTACATGAAACAACCAAGTTTAAAACAACCAAATTGAAATTGTCATTACAACCAAGTTCAATATTCAATACTTAATCTTCATCCATATGAATCACTTCATCATTTCCTAATTCATCTACAAACAAAAAAAGGTTAGCATTGAATTATAAACTTATAATTATGCAAAAATACTTACCAAGTTCTATTTTCTCCAACTTTTCTTCCAATTCTACCACATATGCAACCGTCATGTTTTTAAATTGAATATTAATCGGACTGGAACGTATCCAATCCTGTGTGTAAATCAGAGCTTTCACGGTCTTCTCTGTAAGGGAGCTTCTAGTTGCATTAATCACCCTCCATTAAATTGAATTTTAATCGGACTGGAACGTATCCAATCCTGTGTATAAATCAGAGCTTTCACGGTCTTCTCTGTAAGGGAGCTTCTAGTTGCATTAATCACCCTCCCGCCAACACTCAATGCCGACTCTGATGCTACGCTTAGAGATCGACATTCCTAAAACATGTCTCGACACTTGAGAAAGTACAGGAAACTTTATGGAATAAAGTTTCCACCAATTTAAAATCTGAAAATCCTCTACCCTCTTTTCCATTCCATATAACAAATAAACTTCAACCTCTGTTTTATTAACCACTTTCCTATGTTCTTCCAAAAACCTTGCAAAATCATCTTCCAAATCAACTCTATCCCCACCATTAAAATAACCAGTTGTCTGTCTAGAAGATGATTCATATGGGCGGCTCAATCATTTTGGGGCTCTAAGCGAGCCAAAAATTTGGAGCGCTTTGGCTTTTACTATACTCGGAAATCGAAAACGGATGAGATGAATATTTCGCAGAAATCAAAATCGGTAGAAGAATGCAAATTCGTTTCAGTTTCATGAGTGCAACGATTGTTGATTTATTATTCTGCTTCATTTATTTTGTAGTTACCGGATTGGATTTTTTAATGGACTAAATTTTTGGACTTTAAAGAATATGGGGGCCTTTAGAATTGGGGACCCTAAGCCCTACCTTAAAAATCCTCTACATAGAGCCGACCCTCATTCATCCTTTGTCATTTCACATCATCTTTCTCTTTGTGCTTTGTTTTTGAAGTGTTCAAACAACTCCATTTTCCGAGTGCACTGTTGCGAGTTGCGAGAAGCTCTATTTTCCAAAATCAAAATAAAAAATTGTGACAAGAACACAAGTAGACAACAAACGAGTGAAGACTGAACAGTTTAGGGCTTGCAACTGGATGGTTGAGGCTGAAGAGTTGAAGAGAACGAAACCGGATTAGGTTTTTCTTTCTATTTTCCGACGGAACAAAAACAAATAAATGATATATATATATATATATATATATATATATATATATATATATATATATATATATATATATATATATAATAAATTTAATAATAAAATATATGGCGGTCAGTTTTAGAGCGGGTTCAACCCAATGGATTGGGTCTACGGGTCGGTTTTGATACTTAAAACCGAACCCATAACCCATTTTTCAGTTTTTAAAAATTTAAAATCCAAACCGTTAAAAATTTAAAACCCAAATCCAACGGTTTGGGTTTCTCGGTTTTGGTTTTGCTCACCTCTAGTCTCGATCCATAAATTAAAACCGGTAAGAGGAGGTGTGTCGCACTATGATCGATCGATGTCGATATAATTTGATTTAATGTTTTTTATAAGACCATTGAATATGACAAAACATGTTATAACATGTGACAACTCAATATTATGGTAAAAAAATGGTCTACATGTTATAACACTATTATTTTTTGTTTAATTTTTTTTTTCCTATTCAACGGTCCAAAATATCAAAAAGACAAAAACCAATCATAATTCTCGTTAGCATCTTCAACTCTTCATTACAACGAATTGTGCCTTAACGCCCCCCAACGAGAAAGGGGGTGGTGTTTCCCGGGTTATACACGGTGTTAAGAGGTGCCAGCTGAGCAATAACAAACCGCATCCTCTAACGGTCAAACATCTTTGACCTTGAAAAATTCTTCTTAGATCCTATGTCTGGTACGGGGGCGACTTTAGTATAATTCCACGTCAACTAAGTTCACACTCACTGCAAAAAATAAAATTTCACTTTTCCTTGTCTCTAGAGACAGTTCAAGATTAGTTCTACTTTAGCTTAAAGATTAAATTCACTCAAAAGACTTTAGTTTCAAGATTAATTACACGAGTGGTCCTTGATTATATTGTTGCAATCCAATAACTCTATATTAGTAGGGTTGGGTTTTTGTTAACCATCGTTTATAATTATAAACTCACCTGATTCGTAAATAAAATATGTTCTTCAAAACAGATTATCTAATTCTAATTTCTTATGTATCCGCCGCTGTATGGCCGGAAATTTTGCTCCGGCAGCGCCATGTTCCTTGCAGCTAAACAACCCCAAATTCTCCTTAAAAACAGGTATTATTTTGGTTATGTATACAACTGTAGTAAACTACTAAATCACAAACAAATAGAAACTCAAAAGCAGAAACAAAATAAGGCACACTATGTACACCAGATCGACGGAGAGTTCCTAATTAGTTGGCGGAGGGCTGACGACTGGCCATGGATTCATCCGTTTTGTTGGCGTCGGAGACACATCGAGCAGCAGAGAATAGATCAACAGGCTCCGATTCTGCAATCATACCTTTGTTTTGTTGTTGTTGATTAGCCATATTGTGAGCGGCGGAGAAGAGATCCACAGGCTCGGAATCTGCAATTTTGCCGCCTTCCAACGGCGTGCCGGATTTGTACGCCACTCGCAACGTTTCGTCTTCCGATAACTTCGCCTGTGCAGTGCCGTACTTGATATCGTCCTTGCTTTTCGCCATTTCTGATCGTAGATCTGAGTAGGGTTCAGTGCGAGATTGCCGGTGTTGTTCCAACTTCTAAACAGGTAATTGAAACAGGTGTCTAATTCTGCCAGATTGGATGGACACGTGGTTATGGTGGTATATGCTTTCTGTCCTACGTTTGCGCCACGTAAACATATATGAAATTGTTGCCCAATTTTGGAGTTCTTTAGAAGAAAAATTGAAAATTATTATTTAGGATAAACATTTTAAAATATAAACATAAGCATAATATAAATTCACTCGTAACTCATAATTTAGAAAAAAATGGAAATTATTATTCAGGAAAAAAGCTTTAAAATATAGGGTTATTTTCATTATAGTCTAACTATCTTTTTTACTTTGTTTTAAAAAGTCTATCGTGACTATTTTTGCATTTGAAGGACATAAAGTAGTTCTATTTTACTGGTCACTTTGATACTTTTACATATATTTGAAATAATACTATTGTGTCAAGTGCCAAGGAAACGTGTGAGTCAACATTGATCATTGGCAAGTCGACTCGTCTTCCATGTAAGTTGGTAGTTAATACATGCATTTAGTTCTATTAACCCACCAACCATCCTTAGAGGCTAAGGCTATGTCGTTGGTGGGGGCATAAAGTACCGCAAACCCATGTGAGATTTAACCTAGCAAATTCGACATACCTTATTACTTTATTTGGGCAAACATGATTCTGACCAAAATCCTAAATACTTGCAATGTCGGCTCCACCACCTTCATCACCTAACTCAATAAATTCCCGAGAGTTTCTCAACCTCAGCAACCTACATTCCATTGTTTGCGACTACGGAAACAAAATTGATGTGAATCATAATGAGATGCATAAGATCAAAGAGCAGATAGGTCAAGATTTTCTTGTTTGTCGTGTGGATCATATCAGTATCCCCCACAAGCTGGAAGATCATGATATGAAGCTTAAAGCTATTGTTGTGGTGATGGTTGGCGTGGCGGTGGCCATACTCGAGATGATGGTGGTTGATCTCAAAGTCGTTACAAAGGTTGGATTATATATATATATATATATATATATATATATATATATATATATATATATATATATATATAATCTCAATGAAACCTATCGATCTCTTTATCTCTCTCTCTCTCACTCTATATTTATATATATATATATATATATATATATACATAGAGAGAGAGAGAGAGATGGATAGGTTCCGTTACGATTCAAAATAAAATAGAGATCTTGAGATTCAACCTCAACCACATAATTTACATTTGCCACACTAACCCTCTAACATACCGGCACAACGGGTCAGTTATAATCACCTTCCCCATCACCACAACTGCCATTGTCACCACCACTACCGTCACCTTTGCCACCAACCGACCCCACCACTACTACCTCCGTCACTCATACAACCGCAACCTCCGTCGCCACCATCTCTTCTGCCACCAATCGTTATAATCATATATGATTACCCAATCTGTGAATGTACATATATGTATAATCATTTATGATTATACCTCTCTAATATATAATCATTTATGATTAGTCATACCCCGTTGTTGTTGGTATGCTGGAGCGTTAGAGTAACAAATGAGAAATATGTGGCTGATGTTGAATCTCATGATCTCTAATACTTGCAAAAACTTTGAAGCCTTGAATAAAGGATTGTTATTAACAACTTTAATTTGGATCAAAATGACAATTTTAAAATATTAAATTTATGTATATAAATTAATTTACATATCTTAAACTAAACATCGATGTAAATTTATTTATATCAAATGTATAAGAGACAATATAACTATAAGATTTAAACATAAATATTTTATTTAAAAGTGGTAATTTTTTATACATAATACCTAATAATAAAATATAACAATTATTTCTCCGTAAGAAAATTATTCGTCAAAAGAGTTGTTTATCGTCGTCTCTACATCTAGTGTGTGTCTATATATATATATATATATATATATATATATATATATATATATATATATATATATATATTAGTTTACTTTTTATGTTCTTGGTTTCTTTTTTCTTTTTATTGGTGCTACGTATGGATGATGTGAAAAGGCATGTGTTGATGACATACATTATGTAACTGGTGTTCAGCTTGCTAATGGAAAAAGACTTGAGTTGATTGCAGACGATATGCATGTAATGTTTTAGTTTTCGAACTGTTATGATTTGCATTGACCTATCATGCAAGAACGAAGAAGCAACTCAAATGTTGGGTTAGTGAACCCCACATGCCTTGCACGCTGAGGGTAGTTTTGTCTTTTCACGTTCATAAAGTTTGTAAAAAGGGGTGTGTTAGTGAAAAGGGTATCTATTTCATTTGTTTTCTCCTTTAAATAACTTTTGACTGAGATCCAAGAAAAATCGAAGATGAAGATGGATTGTGGGTGTGGAATTCCGTCAATAATTTTCACATCACGTACTGACACTAACCGCGGAAGGTCATTTTATGCATGTCCAAACAAGGTAAAATGTAGTATTCTATTTGGATCCCTGGTTTCAAAATTATTTTTTAAATGCAACCTGACTTTCATAATCTAGGAGCCTGGTTAGGTTTCATTGCTTGGGTTGATGAAGTAAAATGCAACAGTGAAGAGATGATTATAAGTGTACTGATGAGGTCAAAGAAGAAGCTGGAATCAAAAGTCTTGAAGTTGAAGTTGATCTTACTTTGTTGTTGTTGTTGTTGTTGTTGTTGTTTTTACCTTTGATTTTTGGCATATTACATAGAGCTAGGCCAAGGTACAATTAGCTCAGACATTGGGCCAACCTAGTTCAAACCCAACTAGTCAGGGACTATATTTTGCTGCCACGTTGTGCTGATAATAGAAGAAGCCATATCTGATTTCATAAATTTCAAACAAAAAATAAATTTTCTCAATGAATCCAAAATAACCTATTTTGGATTACTTCAAATTGACACATTATATGTACATTGACAGATTAGTTATACATAATATCTCAACAATGAAGTTCTTTTATTAATTGGGCTCAAAATTGGAGATATATGGTAAATCCACTTCATATAGTAATTACTAAAAATTAAAAAAAAAATTATAAATTAAGAAGTCATAAAGTTATCCAAAATCTTTGGAATACATTTATTTCTTGCAGGTGTGGCTTGCTTTGGTTTTGGTGCATTTCACGTAACAGGTTTGTATGGTCCTAGCATATGGGTGTCCGATCCTTATGGACTAACAGGAAAAGTACAAGCTGTAAATCCATCGTGGGGTGTGGAGGGTTTTGACCCTTTTGTTCCGGGAGGAATAGCCTCTCATCATATTGCGGCAGGGACTTTGGGCATATTAGCAGGCCTATTCCATCTTAATGTCCGCCCGCCCCAACGTGTATACAAAGGATTGCTTATGGGCAATATTGAAACTGTCCTTTCCAGTAGTATCGTTGCTGTCTTTTTTGCAGCTTTTATTGTTGCCGGAACTATGTGGTATTCGATGTTGTCACACTGAACTCCTGATCTACGATCCATGTATGACACCAAGACCCAATGACTCGATTGCATGTCATATTAGTGGGTCTTATGACTACTTGCACTTAGCAAAAAGAGCCCAATATTATTAAAACATGCAACAAACTTTGATTTTCTGCATATTTATAACCATGTTTTTTTTTCCGTACGTGTTTGACTTGTTCATAATAAGGTAGTTTCACCGATAATTACCAGTAATATTACCCTATTTTGAACAGGTCAAACAAGTTTACTGGTCAAAACGTATACGAAAAAATAAGGTTACCTAAATGTGGTCAAAAACCAAAGTTTGTTGCCCTTTAAGTCATTAATCCTATATCATTTTATATCCTTAATATGATTCACATCAAAGTTACACATTGAGTAATGTACTTGTAGATCACTTCAAAAAATTAACTTTCTATTTTACTCCTAAAACGTCTTACGATTGGTGAAAATTTATCCATACATTAATAAAGCACTTTAACCTTAGACGAGTAGATATGGCTCTAGCATCAAACGATGCCCAATATGATAAATGATGTGTACATGCTAAAGAAGTAGAGTTCGAAAAGATGGGAGAGTTTCCCTCGAATCATCACAAAAAGAAAGTATATGTTAGTGGTGAGCATGGTGTGGTTTTAAGACAAAACCGAACCGCAAACACAAGCATCTGTTTTTGTAATTTCAAAACCGTGATGTTCGGTTTCTTAAGTGGTGTGGTTTTGATTTTAAACCACAAAGTGAAATTATGTGATTTTCAACAGTGGTGCAGTTTTAAAACCGCAAGAGACAAAAAAAGGAAACCTTTTTTTATTGAAATTTTAAGCTTTAGCCTTTTACCAAACATGTCTTATGTGTCAGGATAAATTGGCAAGTATTTTTCTACCAAGTTGTGATTTACACGTTATAGTCAATGAATTATCACACAAACAGTAATGCGCAAATAGCCAAACTCAAAAGTAGCAAACCAAGTAAATTAGAATCCGAGTTTTCCATTCAGACCTATTCATCTCATTGTAGAGTGGGTTTACATTCCGGACATAACATTTTAACAAAACTATACCAAATTACAAGAAACACCATATGTATTATCCTATTGCAAATCTCTAAACTAATGTAAAGAGAAAAAAAAAACACTTTAGACATTCTTCAAATTTTAGAATAAGTTTTCACTTTGCATGGCTAATATACTATAGGTATCATGTAATTACTCAAAGAATAAATCCTGATTACTGATAAACAAAGCCTAACAGCTGAAATCACACAATACGCCAAGAATTTGAAACAAAAGTCTAACAACTATCAAAATATCAAATAATTATTGAGTATTATAACTCAAAACACCACCCATTCATTCATGAACTTAATATTTACAATTAAGTCATACTACTCAATTGTATTCGAACCAACCATAATTCTTCAATTTGTTGTTTTAACTGATAACCCAATTCATTATTTAACTACCATGTTATCGATACAAGAAACTTTCAATTATCACCGTAAAGACATGACTTAATGGCATGTCTTAATTTATTAAGCCATAGTTAATTATACTCCAAAAATAAACTATCCACAACACTTAATTCATCCAAATAACACTCCAATTTCAATTAATTAAACAATTCACCAATTTGGGTTCTTGGTCACCCTTATTCCAATTGAAGCATAATTCATGGATTCTTTATATTACAAGTTCACACCCATGAATAAATCATATATAAACCCTAACTCATAAGGTTATCAATCCAATTTATCAATTCATCACTTCACCAATTTAGGGTTTATGATCATCAACTCTAATTTTCACCATATCAAAGATTACAATCTTTTATTAAGTAAAAAAAGCAATTAATACTCTACTTGTATGAACCTTTCAAGAATTTCATCATTCAAATGTGTACAATTTCTAGGGTTCATAAACTCTTTCCCCAAAATTAGCCATATACCAAGAATCGTTAAATGGTTAGGAGGTTATCCTTTGATTTAAGTGAAGATGGATTGATTCCTAGCTTCTTATTGTAGTTAGCTCCAATTTGAGCTCAAGATCTACAAAACCTGATATCTTTCGCTATCCATGTGTTTTCTAAGTGTGTATGATAAATGGAGTAAAAGTTGAGACTTGACCTTTAAAACATGTATTTTTTTTTTTCAGCGCGTACTCAAATAAAACGCGTTGCAATTTTACGTTTCATCTGAATTTTCGCCTCATCCTTGGTCGGCCATAACATATTCATATAAACTCAGATTTTGATAAGTTTGATATCCACACGTTCATATTTGAGTCAACTACAACTTTCTTTTACATTACATATGCCAAAAAAAGATTATATTTGTATTCATACTCCCATATACCAAAAGGTATATGTTATCCATCCTCTAAAACTACACACAAACACATTTTTTTTATTTGTCTTTCATATGCTTTAACAAAATACATGTTCTAACTCTTTATTCAACTAATAAAAGTTTTATATCCCTCGTAATTATATTAGTTATAAGTAACTAGTATTACATATAACGTACAAAATTCTTGATTATATCCAATGTTTTAAAAATGGGTTTGAACCGGTCGGACAAGAACCAAAGACAAGAGAGGTTCAGTAACAATTGATTTTAACTCAATTTCTAGATCAGATTGAATTTGATGATTTCTTCAAAAAACCGGTGTGATAAAAAGTTTGGATCAATTTGTGGAACTTGGATAGATGGATTTCACTCGGCCCGTTAAAAACAACCCATTTTCAAAGCAAATTAAACAACTCGATTGATTAGGTTATTCAAAACTCGAATGTCAATTATGCACACTACCGAACATGACTTCAACGCACATGTAAAACTACATCATGGTAACCGAGTCAAACTAAAAGTCAAACCGGCCAAATAAACAGTTAAACAAGAAAACCAAATTTTAAAGCATCGACTACTTCAAGTAATCCCTAAAAAAATGGGACTAAATTTATAAATACACTTTCTTCTTTTTGTTTTACATATAATGATTATATTGTTAAGTATAGAAAATATTAATTATTTTGTTAAATAACTTGAAAAAATGACTTTTTATTTTTTTTAATCTACACCACAATTCACCAAATTTTGGATCCTACGTTTCAGTTTTTGCTTACAACCCTTCTATCTAACAACGCAGAAGTCGAATGAAATCCATCGCTTCTGACCCACACATTTTTGTATAAATTTCGACACATATGATACAAAACAAGAAACATAAAGAGTGTCATATCAACAGTTTATGAATTAGCTTTAAGTCTTTAACCCAATCAAACTGCATGTTTGGATAACATAAGAAAGGGAATGATGTTCAAAGATACCAGCCGTATCTTTTCCCATTTCCACTCCTCTATCCACAGGGACAAGCAGAGTCGACAAAATAACGAGAACATATAAAATAAGGATTCTACATCGACTATAAATATTAATAACCAAAACACTTAAGAAAAAACAAATACAAGTTTCATTCAAAATGTTAAACCCGATAGTGTTGGGGAGCAGTTGAAAAACAAAAAGAAAGCAACAAGATATAAAACCAACTAGACCATATAAAGCTTCGATCCAAAGATCCATCTTTTACATCCAAACTCCATGTGATGTGCACGAAGAAAGATTGGAAAGAAGCCAACCCTACAGTCTAAACTTCATTCTCTACTTGGATCGTTGTCTCATCTTTCGGCGCTTCCTCTTTAGTCTCCTCATTCTCTTCTTCTTCCACTGCAAAAGTGTAAGTATCCAACGTTACTCGCCATTGTTATAATCTATGTCTACAAGATCTTAAGCTATTATATATAAACAGATTAAACAAGCATCAAAAAACATTTAGAACAGATGTTAATAGGACAACAATCAGATTATTAGATTAAACAGACAACCGTAATTAGATAGCTCAATTATACAAACAACAGATGAAATAAGTATATACTCAAGTTAACCCGATCAATAATCTATTTCCACATATGCAAATTAGAAAAGGTACAACAGTCAAAACTAAAGTAATATCAGTTGCATATATCGATTATGTTAAATTAATCATCAAGCAAACGAACAAAATCAATGAGAAAACTGATATAACGAGCAAAATCTGAGATATCGTTACTAGTTCTTGAGTAAAAACAAGTTAGTTAATATGAAACAAGAAATCTTAATTTGGGTTTGATCGTAATTGCGAGGTTACTTTCCTTCGTTTTCACATAAATTAATCAAAATCGAAATCAAATATCTAAGACTGATGAAGATAGATGAATTTACCTTAGCACGCATCTCGCTGTTCAAGCCTTACTTTGATCTCTCTACCTGTTTTGTGGTGGGCGGACGATGGAATGAAAGCGGAAACAAGTGGAATTATTGATATTTATAGGTAGGGCAACCCTAGATTAGTTGGGCCTTGTAATGGGCAACTTTTCTGTGTCTTTTCTTGCCTAGCCCAGCATCGGTATTTTGGTGTCAATTTAGTAGATCATAATAATTATACATGTTGACCAGTTTTTGGGTTTTATATATATATATATATATATATATATATATATATATATATATATATATATATATATATATATATATATATATAAATCATTATAACCAGTTTTTGGGTTTAAGATATATATATATATATATATATATATATATATATATATATATATATAGATATATATATATATAGAGAGAGAGGAGGGTTTAATTGAGAAAAAAAAAAGTTGAGAATGGGGAATCATTCTTAGCAAATCATTTATTTTTGCCGCAAAAGCCTCCAATGTACCGACGAAAATAGGAAAGGAATGCACATGTGTTTTCTAACAAAACATGTTTCCTTAAACTATGCTAAGAATTACCTTAATATATACAAAAACATAGTTTTTTCGTTTTTTTTTTTAATTTTCAAGAAACTATTTTTATCGAAAAATTGTTTTAAATATATCAAAAATCATGATTTATATTCTCTACAAATAGACATCCATATTGATATAATGTTAATATAAAATATTTTTTATATATATTTTCAGTTATCGTTATTCATAAGTGAATAAAAATGAATCAGGTTTTTACTACAGTATATTCGTTATTCACTTATGAATAAAAACTATGATTAAATTTTTTTACAATTTAATTATCATTCATATATGAATATAACATATAATAAACACAATATATTCATATTTAAATATTGGACGATTCATTCACTTGTGAATATTACATAGTATATTCACTTGTGAATATTAGATGATATATTCACTTATGAATATTAGATAATATTTTCATATCTGAGTATTACATAGTATTAGATGGTATATCACATGTGAATATTACATAGTATATTCACTTGTGAATATTAGATGATATATTCACTTATGAATATTACACAATATATTCACTTATGAATATTACAATGTGTTTTCACAAATATATATAATATTTATATGTTATTCACATATGAATAACATACAGACTTGCATATTCGTTTTTTTGTTTTAATAATCATATACTGATTCAGGTAAGAAAATATATTTATATATGAATATAACGTGATAATTTAGTTTATGCATTTCATCAAACAGTTGGAGTGCATACAATTTAACTTTTTTAAAAATGTTAAAAACATGATACTTTAACTATTTAAATCTTACAAAATAGTAGATAGATAGAGAATTATATGAAAACTTTCAAAAAAAAAAAACGATTTAATCTTTTTATAACCTCAATTTTGAAGTTTTATTTGAGAATCGATGTTGAATGAATGATATGAAGTGGATTTTTTGTTTATTATCAATGATGTTGATCTAATAACACTGAGAGTATAATTAATCGTAGATGTTGAAGATATGATTGTATTCAAGCAGAACTGAAGGTTGGATTAAAAGAACCAAAAATGAAATTTTGTTGTTAACTATTGAATCGTGTTGATAAACATGTTATTGACGAAGATCAATAATGATTAACACCGGATGATGTTGATGATGGTTTAACTGAAGAAATCTGGATGATTGTTGAAGGTTGGAGGAGAAACTTGGATGATGAACGATTGAAATTTCTATATAGGTACGTATTTGAGATTGATGGTTATTATCATATTTACAAGTTTGTCACCGTGTCTTTTTATGCTTAGATTAAACGAGTGACTGAAAATGATTCCCCCATTCTCAACCTTTTTTTATTTTCTCAATTGAACCTACCTATATATATATATATATATATAGGAATGATCATTTGTGAACTCATAGTTTTCCAAGAACCCGAGAACTAAACAACAATCGTTAGATTAAAATAACAAAAGGCTAAGATGCATTGTGGCAGTTTTGTAAATACTTGGTAAAAAGAAGACACGGGGGCATCTAATTAAAAGGAACCAGGGGCATTTCAAGGATAACATCAACCCCACCCTCTTTCTCTTTCTCTCTCTCCCCCTTCGTCCCACATTTCTCTCCAGATCGATTGTAGAAACCGATTCGTAATGCTACAACCATCGATAGTTTATCTGGTGCCACCAGTCTCCTCTACGATTACACCTACAATCGTTCACGACGACAATGAAATCGATTTATACAATCAGCGGATCTTCATCACTTTCCTCTGGCCTTCATGTTCCATCCAAGCATTCGGTACAATCGATTTCTTCAGATCACATGTTGTCAAATGTCGATTCCACTTGTATTCTCACCGATCAGGTCTCCGACAAGGTCCGCAAACTCGACCTTGCTCAATCTCACGTAAATGAAACCCTAAGCTTCTCGTTAGAGCTCTTAAAGCTCGTAAGAACGACATTCCTGTGAAGGTTACTCCTCTGTTTATAAGTTCAATTTCGATTCTGATGCGATGTTTGGAAATTGTGAAAGTTTGATTCGTTTTTTGTTTTTGGTTTCTGATATGGATTTTGTAGACTTTATTGACGATATGCGAGGGTCGTGAAGGTACAGAGCTATCAGATGGAAATGTATTGCTTTTCCCTGAAATGGTCAAGTACAGGTAATCTACGACTCAGGGTTGAGTGAATGAATTGAGTCCGCCAGCCTCCGAATTGACCTCAACACGAACTCTTTGATTGTTGATAATTGTAAAGGAAGGTTACATCCACTATTTTAAAAATCGGTTTTTTAGTTGAACCGGTATGGTGACCGGTAACCGGTTTAACCGGTTCGATCGCTGGTGAACCGGTTTCCATATTTTTCATGTTTTTTTTTCTATTTTCCTACACATACATACATATAAAAATTATGAATTTGATATTTACAAGTTCAAACATTAAAAATACACATAAAAATAAATTGTAGATGAATCAAAATATATTAAAATAACACATAACTATAAATTTTAGTGTTTTACATCAATCCATATATGTCAAAAAGAAAATAAAATATAATACCGAAACGAAATATAGTTTTTGATGAATACAAACACATCAAAAGAATTTATAACATTTACCATATGTTTTTATTTGAAGAAAACTAAATAGATTTGAAAAAAAAATCATCAAAGTTTATCATGTAAATGTTTCTTTCTTCATATGTTTTTATTCAGTTTAACCGATTTATTTTGACCGGTTCAACATGTTTTTTTTCTAAAAACCGGTGAGTTCAATCCGATTCATAAATCAATGTAAAACCGGTGATAGTTGAACCGCTCCCTCTCCCGGTTCCCGGTTCGACCGGCCGCTTCAAACCGGTTTTTAAAACATTGGTTACATCAGAATGAAGATTCAGCGAAGGTAACGTCCGTTCTTCTTTATCTGTTTCGTCTTGTTTTGATTGATTCATTTTTTTCTATTTTCTCTCAAATTTATTGTATCCGCATGTTGTTCCGAGCTAGTAGTTATATGTTATCATCTACAGTGTGATTTATGTTTATGTTCCTTATTCGACTCTTGATTTGAGATTTTTTTGTTTTTGTTTCCTACCGAGACCCTAACCAACCGGAGTTGGTATTATTTGTTGTTTTTGTTAAATAGACATCTTGAATTATTTGGTTGTATGTTGTATTTGAATTAATTGGTTGTATGTATATTTGTTTTAATTTGGTGAAGAACTAGTGATTAGGTTTATATCTATTACTCTATGCCCTTTGCTTATGCTAATATGTGCATATGAAGCAAAATTTGGCATAAAAAGTGTTATCAATATTCGTTTTGTAAGACTTTCTACTGTTGATAAGGAAATATTCTCGAAATCCACATTTGAGAATATTTTGAGAGAATTTATTTCAGTTATTATCCTCAAATTCAACAATACATCTTTATGGAGCTCCATATTAGACTCATTAACTGAAATCGGCTCATTTCTTGAAAAATCTCAAGATTCTGAGAAAATGCCAAGTTTTGATGCTATTATTGTAGACAAAATGGTGGATTTATTGGCTTTTGATGATTTAAAAATGCCCTTTTCACTCAAAGTAAAATCAAAGTGAAATCAGTATCTGAAATTGGCATGATTAATTTAAAATATATGATGAAGATTGTTCAAGAATTGAACAAAACTATCATTACAAGTTTACACAAATCTTAGGTATATTTCAATATTTCATGGATTAATTAGTATTCTACTTTATAATAATGGGAATTGCTTGTTAAACTTTATTAATGGATTTTAATTTTCTTATAGATTGATGGAGACTCAAAGTCAATTGAACATGCAATGATTCTTTTGAAATGCTATGATGATAAGATACTTCCATGGTATGTTCTTTATACTTATTTTGGTTTTTAGATTGTTTTTTTTAAATAACATGAATTGATTATGTAATAACTAGGTTTCAGAATATCAAAGATTCTAATGATGTGGCTACAAATTTTGCATTAAAGATTTGGGATGAAATTGAAGACAACACACTTTTCTATGACACCCTTGTGGAAAAAGTGAGTCTTTTTTGTTCAAATTGCAAGAACAATTCATACAATCAAAATTTTATGATAATGTTGGATAATTTCAAGGGCAAATCACACACACAAAAAAAAGATAATCTTTGTTATATTGTGTGCAATTTTATATTCTAACCACTGTTACTTTATTTACCCAATCAAACCATAAAGATTTCAGGCATTTTCTAAAGGTTTAATCTAAAAAAAGATCTTATATTTTGTGTTTTTTCCGAATTAAAACTCAAATTTATTTTTTTTGCTTGAAAACCTTGTATTTTTTTCATTTTTTTCTTAGAAATCCCTCAACTTTGTATTTTTTTTTTTGAAAAAAACCCTCAACCTTAATGTTTCCAAATAAACCCTCAACTTTTTTATTTTTTCTTGAAAAAACCCTTACATTTTACAAGGAGAAAAATGACTAAAAGGGTCAAATTGGAAAAAAAAATGAAAAAAATACAAGGCCCTTTTCTGGCAAAAAAAAAAAAAAAAAAGGTTAAGGTTTAATCCGGAAAAAACACAAAATATAAGATATTTTTTGAGATTCACGATTTTCTAAATTAACCTTTCATTAGGTCAAAATAGTTAATTTGGAAAAATGTCAAAGAACGAAGTGAATCATATATGAATTACATCTGATTCAAATTTAAATCACATGTAATTCACATATGAATTACATGTAATTCACATGTAAATCACATGTTATTCACATATGAATCACATATAATTCATATATGAATTACATGTGATTCACATCTAATTCACATATGAGTTATAAATGTTTCACATGTAAATCATATGTAAATCACATATGAATTACATGTGATTCACATATGAATTATATATGATTCACATGTAAATCATATGTAATTCACATATGAATTTTATGTGA